AATAATACATATTTACACACACACAACTAAAAAAAAATAGATGACATAGGAAATAATACCGATCAAACTCTCAGGGAACGATCAGTAATGGAAAAACCAAAACACACTGTACCAGACTAAGAAGAATTGATGGAAGAAACTGAAAAATAGTTTTAAAGTAACAGAAGACTTTTCTAAAATAGATAAAGGCTTCAAGATTCTACAAACAGAAATAATGTGAATCCCAAGGGCTTAGTAAGGCACAATAAACAAGTAATTTTCTGCTTTTTAATATGGACATATTCCAACTGGTGTTAGACTTCTCCTAAACAGCTCATAGAACAGAAAGCAAGGTGACAGTCTGTAAACTTCTGGGGCCCGGGCATACATTTGATTTGACTTACACGTAAATGGAGTTGCTTTGCTTGTCCTGTAAGGAGTTGAGTACAGAGGCCCCAGCAAACCATCATGAGGTTTGCACAGGAGTGAAGTGAAGCATGATGGAGACTGAGACCAAGGTAGTTGTAGAGGGAAGCCTTGAGACACAGTACTGGGAAGGAAGCACTGGTTGCTGATGGAATGGTGCAAGGCAGGTAACAGGGAAATTCCAACTTCATCTCCTAGGTGTCTGACTTCAAGAGCTGGAAAACGATGGTGGCGTGTGTTGTGATAATGAGCATTGAGACAGAAACAAGTTCTATTTTTTTAGAAGATTAGCATCCAACAGTTGTCAAATAACAGATATTTGCTTATTGTGCTGATGATTTCAGTGTTTGAATTTTGTGTGTCAGACATGAATGGGGATTCCAGCTGTATTGATCGACTGTATTTATCAGTTGGTGACAGAGATATACTAATCTTCAATTGCTATACTTTATATGACATTTACTTATATGTACAGAGCATTAAAAACAAGAACTTCTGTATTAAAGTGTGACTAATTTGGCAACAGAAAAAGTTAAAAAGTAGATATTATCAACTATAACAATTTCTGTGGTCCTTTGCTCCTACACATATAAATTAGATAAACTGTTTTTATATGCCTATGCCAGTGCACATATTTTACCATATTTGGACATGAACTAAAAGTAATATACCATCCAATATTAATTTATATAATAAAATAAGTTTCATCTTTTAGGGCAAGTTTTTGTAGAAGCTGGAGAATAAATGAGTTTATAAGCTATAATTATTATTGTTTTGTTTCATTATTTGTAACTTTAATAGACAAGGACTGAAGTAATGTATAAGGTTTAAATTTCAAAAGAGTTAGTTCTAGTTCATAAAATCCTTACATGAGATTTGAAATAGTTCAACATTTAAAGAAATAAGATGTCTGTGCCTGAATTGAAGGATGAAGAGAAATACATCAGTGCGTTCTGGACAGTGCAAAGTCAGTTGTTAGTAGTTGCTTATGCTAAGACTTTGAAGATGTAGAAACTTGTGTACTTAAAGGATCTGTGGCTTTTTATGTTTGCTTGTGGTATATGCATCTAGGTCTAAGTTCATCATTTCTATGTGACTACTTTAGTCATGTTTTTTTAAAATCACAACCTTGATCTAGCTAAAAAAAAATGATTTCCAAATACCTGCATGGTCGAGGAGACTTCAGAAATACAAGTTTTCTTTATCTTTCTAGGAAAATACATTCTAGGCCGTGACAAAATAAACCTTGTAATGTAGGATTAGTTTATCCTGAAAAATTACTGAATTTACTAAGTGTATAGTTTAAGACTTTATGAATAGTATTAAGGGATTTATATGTTTGGCCTCGTTTTTCAGCTTTTATATCATGGTAGTCTTTCTCTACTTATCTGCCAGTAAAAGAAGTGTCTAGGGATGCTTTATACCACACTGTAATCAGGATGGGCATGCAGTACATTTTCAAATAATGAAGTTTGAAATGCTTGGAACTAAACTGCTCAAAATATAAACTTTCTGCCATATATTTCATTCCAGTTGTTTTTTGTTTGGATCAGATATCTATCATTACAACATTGAATTTTGCTTTAATTTCACTACAAAAATGCATGAAACTGTTGTAATTAATTTTATAGACAGCTAAAATGAGATAGAATGATAAAGTTGCCAAAATACTGTAAATTTGAATTTTCTGAATTACCCACTAAGATACCCTAAATTTATGAGCTTATCAAAAATAAGAGTAAATCTGACCCAGTGATGTATTCACAACATATTTTTTAATGAAACCAAAAAAATGAGAAAGAGAACAACTTGTGTGATACGACCTCCTTCTTGTGAAATGAACAGCCCAGCACTGTGAGTGTGCAAATAAAAACCTAAGAGAAGATATGGCTAACTTATGTATCAGTGGTTATTTCTTTCATTTTTATCTTTCTCTTTAAAAATTTTTTAAATATATAACATTAGTAGAACTGTTATATTAAGTTGTCAGTTTGAATAGATTATAACATAATGCATAGCCTTATATATTTATTTTATGTTCAGTGTCAAAAATACTGAATTCAAGTATTACCTCATAAAGAAATTAAGACAAATGTATAAATTGATTAGAAGAAAATTTCAAAAACTCTAAAGCAAAGGATTTTTGAAACTTTTTTAGTATACCTCCTGTAGTTTTTGTGTATACTCAATTTATTTTTGAATTGAAGAAGGTCCCTTGTGTTCTTAATGTACTGAGATTTCAAAAATCCTGAATAAGGGTTGAATTTTGTCACTTCCTTTACTCATATCCACAGGATAATTATATGCTTTTTCTTCTTTAATCTGTTAGTATTATGAATCATACTGATGTTTGAATGTTTTAAGAATAACTTAAATTCCTGGTCGCTCTTGTTCATGATGTGTTAAACTTTTATATACTGCTGAAATTGACTTAAAATTTTTAACTATTTTTGAGTCCCTTTTTCAGAGAGATGTTATTCTTTTGTCTGATTTTCTTGGATGGATTTGTCTGGCCTTGATGTCAGAGAGATGTTAGCCCACTGTGATAATGCAATGACCCCTCTCCTTTTTTCTCTAAGAATCTGCGTAAAATTGATATCATTTCTTCCTTAACTGTTTGACAGAATTCATTAGTAAAGCCATGGAGGCATGAAGTTTTCTTTGTGTGAATATTTTAAAAAGTATGAATCAAAGTACTTTAGTAGATGTTCCACTATTCAGATATCTGTTCTTGACTCAGCCTTGGTATTTGTGGGTTTCAAGGAAATTGTAATGTCTTCATTATTGAATTTAGCGCAGTAATGTTCATAATCTTCCATCTGACCTTTTTAATCTCTGTAGAATCTGTAGTGATGTGTTCATTCTCATTCTTCAATATTTCATTTCTTTCCTTGGTAATTCATTTCTTTTTTTAGGTCAGTATTGATGGAGATCTATCAGTTTTACTTATATTTCCAGAAGGCCATACTTTGTAGTCATTATTTCTATTTTTGTCTCTTCTGTATTTTATCATTTTTTTTAATTTTATTTGAGTTTAAATTGCAGTTCTTTTTCAGTGTATTAGTAGGAAAATGTAGGATTGCTAAGTGTAGAACTTTCTATTTTATTATATGATCTTGTAATGCTGTACTTCTAGTCGGTATCACACTGGCTGTATCCCACACATTTTTGATATGTATTTTCATTTTAATTTAATTCAAAATAAGTTCTAGTTTTCCTAGTGTTTTCTCCTTTCACCCATGCATTATTTCAAAGTGTATTTAAATTCCAAGTATTTGAGAATGTTTTAGATTTCCTCCATTATTAATTTCTAGTTAATGTTGTTCTGTTTAGAGAATGTACCTTGGATAACTTTAGTCCTCTTTTATATTTAATGAGTCTTTTTACATGTTCATAGAATTTAGGGGAGCAGATATTCTGTGTGCAGTTGGTAAGCATGCATGCCTGCTAAAATGCATAGAGTGTCCTGTATATGCCAGTTGGGACAAGTTGGTTGAAAGTATATTTTAAATCTTATTCTTGCTGATATTTAGTCTCTGTGTTCTATTAGTTATTAAGAGAGGACTGTAAAAATTTCTGCTACAATTGTGGATTTGCTTATTTCTCTTTTTAGTTCCATCTACCTACATTCTGTTTGCTCCAGGTGTTGAACATTTAATCATCAATACACACACAGCTAGCATTGCTGTATCTTCTTAATGAATTGAACCTTTGGTCATTATGAATGAAATGACCTTCTCTACTGTTGGTAATATTTCTTGTTCTGATAAGCACTTCCTATAATATTGGTAGCCAGTCCAGCTTTCTTTTGATTAATGAGTATTTAATATATTTTTTCCATCCTTTTACTTCTTAAAATGTCTAAATAGATTCCTTGTAAGCAACATGAAATCAGGTCTTAATGCAAATACCCAACTTTAAGATGCACAGATAAGTTTAGTAAGTGTAGTAACTAGAGAAATGAAAATTAAAGTAATAATATCTCTTTACAATTGTTAGGTCAAAAAATTAGGATACGAGATGATAATGTCACATATTAGCAGAAAAGAAAATACAGAAATCCTATAACAGCAGAGAATCCTCATAAACTGTTAGTGGTGTGAAGACTGTTTCAGGTGTCCTGAAGAAGCGTCTACTGGGCACGTTAGTGTGTGTGTATAACCTGTGATCTCCTAATTCTGATCTGGGTCTACAGCAGAGGGAGGAAGAGTCTCTGCTCAAAGTACACATTCAACCCCATGAAGAAGTGCAGTGGCGACATTCATTGTATCATGTGTTGAGGTGTTGGGAAGTTAGCCTGGGTGTCCATCACTAGGAGAGTGAGCAAACAAAAAGTGTTAGCACATCACACTAACAGACTGGCCACATAACAATGTGGATGGATCTTAAAAGCCAAATTTCAAGAGAAAAAGTTAAGTAAAACAAGACCTAGTATAACATAGTATCACTTATATAAATCTTACACATGTGAAGGGGTCCCACTTCCCTCACTTCTTTCTGTTGAGAATAGCTGAATTTCTTCTAGCCATTAAAAAATAGATGTGAATGTCCTGAAAACAAATTGTATCTATGTTGAAAACAATTTCTCCTTACAGATGTGGATGAGTGCCAGGCGATCCCAGGCATTTGCCAGGGAGGCAACTGTATCAACACAGTGGGCTCTTTTGAGTGCAGATGTCCTGCGGGTCACAAGCAGAGCGAAACTACACAGAAATGTGAAGGTGAGTCTCTATCTCCGGGACACGCTTAAAGCTTGACTTTGAATTGGAGGAAAGCAAGACTTCATTTGGAATTCTAAAGACTCCTCCTCTTCGTAACCATTATGCCTCATTTTAATGTAAAAGTACAGGTAAATAACTTGCCATATTTAGGTATCCGTTTGTGTATGGTAGCCTTAGAGGGTTTGATTTGGAAAGAAGCAGTGAACATTTTGCATCTTGTTTGTTACCTCAGTCACTGGGTACTAGTGACCGCAGGAGTAATTTAGCCATTTGTATTTTTTCCTAATGAAGTAATTTCCCACTTCACCTATGAAATAATTTCAAAAATTAAAATTGGGGTAGAGAAAAGAACTCCAAGCAGAATATAGCATCATGTGTACAATGATATGTTACTAGCTGACACCATGTTATATATTATAAATAAAATATTTTAATAGCCACAAAAGTGAAAAAGCAGACATAAACAGCTCAGGAAGATTTTAAAATTTACTACCATATATCTTACGAAAGAATGAGGGGCCGGAGATATTGCTCAGTGGCACAGTGCTTACCTGGCAAGCGTGAGGTAGTGAGCTCAATTCCTGGTACCCCCCCCAAATTAATAGCTTGCTTAGAGATTTAAATTAATAATTTACTGAGGGGGGCTGGGAGTTTAGCTCAGCGGCGCAGCGCCTGCCTGGAAAGCGTGACATCATGAGTTCGATTCTTGGTACCAGAAAAAAAAAACGACAAAAAATAATAATAATTTTCTGGACTATAAGATATAGATACTATGATACTGAAATGTAAGTTTCATCAACATTAAAGATTATAAATGCATGCAACTCCGGTGAACACAGATACTTAGAATATTTTGTTGCTTCTAGCAATATTGAATTTTAATGCTTATTGTTCCAGTTTTCATACTATTTAAATCAATTTATTTCCTTTAATGTATTTTTTGAAAGAGAAGGAAGTATAAATATTCTCCTTTGTTATGATATAAGCATTCTTATTAATGCAGATTCTTTTCTTTTTTTCCCTCTCCAAAAGGCAGTATTTTTTGTTATTTTTTATTGTACAGTTGTTATAAAGATTGCTGTCCTTTGCAGAAAAATATCCAGAGTTTAATTATACAAGATAGGGGGCTGGGGATTCAGCTCAGCAGCACAGTGCCTGCCTGGCAAGCGCAAGGTCGTAAGTTTGATTCCCGGTACCGGAAAAAAAAAAAAAAAAAGTTAGGAAAAAAACCTATGTTACTAGATAGAGGTATTATGGGGTACACATGCTGTTGTTTTAGCACTAGGAACCCTAGTCCCATAAACTCATTGGAAATATCATCCTGTATTTTTCATTTGCTACAGTTTGTTTATAATCAAGTCCAAATTGGTCTTTATGGGGCTGGGGATTTAGCTCAGCAGCAAAAGCGCCTGCCTTGCAAGCACAAGGTCGTGAGTTCGGTTCCCAGTACCGGAGAAAAACCAAAACAAAACAAATTGGTCTTTATAGTTATATATATTTTATAGAATTGCAGGTTAATTTGATGGTCCTCATAAAAAGGTGACCAAAATGTAGTTGATTATTTTAAAGACCAAATAAAAGTTTCTGAAACTGCAAAATGACCTCATAGTGTGCTACCTCAATACAGTGTTGATCACTGAAGTCCGTGTATAATGAAAAAGTTAAGAAAAATACTTATGAGACGGAGAAAATTTATCTAAGTTACCAGAATTAACACATTCATTGGATCAGCAGTTCAGGGATCTATAGAAAGTGCAGTTATTTCCTTGTTTGTGTTTTCCCTGCTTTTTGAGGGTTGATTCTATTGCTCAACATTTTGTCATTCCTCTCCATGATTTACGAACTATTTTCCAAACTGGACCCGAGCATGATGTCCTTAGGAACATAAAGAGTATTTGATCATAGGCGAGAAGGCGCACCTCTGACCGATTATAGTGGTTGGGACATTTCCAGTGCACAACAAACAATGGATTTCTTCTCAACTGAAAATGGAGTAAGCCTTTTCTACATCACATTTCATCAAAGCCATGTACTGAGCCAAGCCAGAGCTTGGAGGAAGACAGTCCAACTCTTTATTTGCCACTTTTCTGTGTTTTGTAGGAATAGGGGCTATTGATTTAATGTGAGCACACCCAGAGGTTTGAGTCCAATCATGTTTTTCCTTGCTTCCTGTTCTGGCAGCCGAATCCGTTTAACCATTACCCAGAATTATGTGATGCAGTACTTGGGATTTATGAGGAATAGCAGAACGAGAACAAGTGGTGATTAGAATTTGAAATCTAAGGCCTCATGAAGACTTTCCTTGGAAAGGTCGTATTTATTTAGATGTGTCTTAAAGTGACCATTACCAATTTTCTTTGAGAGTAATACTGTTTCTTTGTATAGAAGAGTAAGTTCTATTTACCCATATAAAATTTTATGGAAAAAAGCATGTTAGTGTAACTGGTAGTAAAATATATCAGGAAAGACTATAAAACTATTGCTACATTTAGTAACAGGTTTTGAATTGCAGTCTGCTTACATATAGGTTAGTAACAGTATAAAAATGTTACCATAAATTTAAAATTAATATTTGCTCTAAATAAAAATACAACCATAGCAAGTACTTTTTACCTACTGTCAATGGCAAATCATTTCAATTTCTTACATGATTTGCAATGTGAACATAAAATACAGTGTATTGGCAGATTTAGTTTAAGATAATGCCCTTCTTGTTTTGATTATAGCATGCTTTGTATTTCCATTATAGATTAATGAAATTCTCTAAAGAAACCTTTTTTAAAATCTATGAGTTACAGGTATGTTCAAAATTAAGAAAGGTAACTCCAGTATTTGGGCACTGAGTGTTTGGAAAAATGGTGGCATTTTGAACATGAAACTGCAAAGTTAGCTTATTATTTTATAACAAATCTGTTCTCAATATTTCATGTGTGTACTTACTGACTGTCTCATTCCACCCCTTGAATAGTATCTTTAGTACAGAAGCTCTATCTTGTTTAGTGCTGTATCCCAGAGCCAAGAACAGCTTCTGGCATGTAGTACACGGTAATTTATTAGGAGTGGAGTATACAATAAGTTAATTTTTTTGGATGACTCTCCAAAAAGAAGGCAAAATGCAGGTCCAAAGTTAAAACTGTATTTGGAAAGAGGGAAATGATCTTCAGCAAGAGTTTTTTTTTTTTTTACTTTATTCTGACTACTTTTCGTCTTCTTAATAGTATGGTTTTGCTCTGGCTGGCATTGAGAGATGAAGCATAAATATTAAATGCAGTTTGTTGTCATAGGGTCTTTTTGATCACCTGCAGCTGTTGCTTCTCAGCTTTGGAAACTTTGTTTTCTGTCTTAAAAATGGAAATGTTTTCTGCTAATTTATTAGTGTGTCTTTCTAACTGAAATTTTATTGTGAAAGGCCTCATCTGACAAAATTTCAAATTTGAGAATGTATAGTTTATAGTAAAATTTTAAGTGGTAGGAGAAGTATTTGTCTTTTAATGTAATACTTGAGACATGGCTTCAATATCTATCATGGAAGTTTAATTTGTTTTATATCAGTGGTCTGTGAGATTTTTTTTTTTAAAATCTCATATTCATGTATAGAACACGATCTAAGTAAACCTGAGCCAAAAGCAGGAATATATATTGGAGGGTGTGTGTGTGTTTTGGAAAAATCAGTTTTCCTCCAAAATGTTATTTCTTATTTCTGTCATACAGCAAGCAAAAAGATTCTTAGGTGGAGTACAGTGTTTCTTTACATCCAAAGAGAAGGTTGTTTCAGTTACTTACTCTGCAGAAACATTCATTTATCCAACTGCCTATTGAATTTAGGTAAGAGAATTAAAACAGAGCAATACAATATGGAATGGCACATTTGAAGACTGCCATTTTCCCTTATAAAATGAAATGTGTTCATTTTCAGTCCCTTCCACATGGATAAAACGTGAGTAGGTGCCAGATGTCCTTACATGATCCCTCTTCCAGACCATACCTTCTTTAACGTTTCTTGAGCTTGTTATTCTTTCCTGGCTTATATGAAAGGCAGGAAAAGAACATCAGAGTATTGGAAGGTTTCCCTTCAGTGGTTCTTTATGTTTCACATAGTTCTTTTAAATTTATTCTGAAGAGTCTTTAGCCATGTTCTGTTAACACAGCACTGTGTTGTTTGAGATCTGTAACAACAAATATATTTATGTGTGCTCATGCAACTCATAAAACTTGTTGGCACAGTCTCTTTTGCAGCTATTCTAACAGCTTTGATAAACCCTGGAAAATAAATGTTACATACTAGCATGAAAAGTATTTACTTATACTCACATTACCAAAAATATAACAATTTTAAAATAAATAATAAATACAATATTCCTCACAGAGGAAATCATGAATTAAGATGGAGAAGAAAGTAAGGAGAATGTTAACATTGGAAGTAGGTAAGAATTTTGAGACCACTAGTTTAAAAAAAATGCAAAATATCATCTTTAAGTTCTTTAAAATAAACTTATAACACTATAAACATATATACTATTTCCTGCTCATGAATGAGACAGCCAGGGCTGCCTACCTAAAATCCCTTGATATCAAATAATTTATTCCTCTGACACTTAACACATTTTAACTATTTTTCTGGCCTCTACTAGCAAAATATATGTACCAATAATAAAAGCTAATATTCACTGAGTAGGTAATATATTCTACAAAATACTGAAACCATATCACATGGGTTATCTTGTTAAATCTTCACACAAGGGTTGAGACTGGTTGCTGTCGACTCCCTTTACAGATGAAAAAACTGAGACACAGAGACGCCAACTAACTTCCTCAAGATTATGTAGGTAAGCACAGCAGAGCCAGAGTATGACCTCCAGAGCCTCTGCTCCTGGACAGATTCTACTCTTAGTGCTGTTGACCAGATGAAGGTGGAAAATCAGGCAGCACACACTCCATTCAAGGATGCCCTGAGAGGGGGAACCTGCTGAGTCGGCAGGAGCAATAGGAGTGTGGTTCTG